CTTCAGAAGTGGGCATGGCCTAATTTTGGGCCTGTGGATGCTCACATGGCCGCAGGTAGTTTACTCATACCCAGCAATCGCATGTAACATTTGTCTCCATACCACACCAACATGAAGAAACAACGCAAACCTCCACCACTAGGGTAGGATGATGAAAAGAGTCCAGAAGCCTCAGTAGGTGCTACTCATCTAAGGGACCTCTCTGAGAAAGAATTCAGATATGAAGTAATGAATATGTTCAATAAACTCAATAAAACAGTGAGAGAGATATCCAGTAAATTAAAGGAGGACGTGAAAGAACCAATGGATCAGACAATTGAGAAAATTCAGGAAGAAACGAGAGCAGAAATTGGAAAGATATGCACAAAAATGTCACAAATAAAAGATTCAGTAGATGAAATAAAAAACTCAGTCTTTGCCCTCAAGAGTAGAATGGCCACAGCTGAAGACAGAATCAGTGAGCTGAAAGATCAGCTGCAGGAAGCTATAGGCAACAACAAATAATGGCAAGAGACCTCAAAATAGCTATAGAGCGAATCAGATTTCTAGGAGAAGATTCCAAGAGGAACAACATTAGAATCATTGAAGTATCAGAAGGTCAGGGAAAAAATCCCAGTGAAAAAGTCCCGGTTAAACAAATCACTGCTGAAAAGTTCCCAGAGCTGGATAATGCAGCCATTCGGATTCAAGGAGCCCGAAGGGTGCCAGCTAAAAAGACCCTAACAAAAACACTCCAAGACATATCATAGTTAGAATGATGAGTGCCGCGGGTAGAGACACAATACTGCAAGTAGCAAGGTGAAAGAAGGAAATCACATACAAAGGAGCACCCCTTAGATTCACAGCAGACCTATCAGAGGAAACCCTTCAAGCCCGAAAGCAATGATGGGAAATAGTAAAAACAAAACAAAACAAAACAAAAAAACAACTCACTGAAATGAACACTTAACCAAGAATACTCTATACGATTAAACTCACTCAAACTCAAAGGAACAGTACACTATTTTGTGGATAAACAACAGCTCAGGAACTTCATAGACTCAAAACCAAACCTAAAAGAAGGGCTAAAGTGGCTACTATAAGACAAGACAAACCCTACAAGCTCATATCTCTCTAATACCAAAAGGAAACAAAGACACCACAAGAAAAGAAAACTACAGGCCCATATCCCTGATGAACACGCATGCAAAGATTCTTAACAAAATACAAGCAAATAGAATTCAACAACTCATCATAAACATCATACACCATAACCAAGTGGGATTCATCCCGGGGATGCAAGGATGGTTTAACATTTGGGAATCAATCAACATAATCCATCATATCAACAAAAGAAAAGATAAAACCATATTATCATATCAATAGATGCAAAGAAAGCATTTGACAAGATCCAGCACCTGTTTATGATGAAAACCCTCACCAAAATGGGGATAGAAAGGACTTTCCTCAATATAGTTAAAGCCAACTACCAACAGCCTACGGCAAGCATCATCCTCAATGGAGATAAACTGAGAGCCTTCCCTCTAAGATCAGAGACAAGACAAGGATGCCCACTCTCTCCACTGCTGCTCAATATAGTACTGAAAGTACTTGCAATAGCGGTTAGGCAAAAAAAAAAGATATTAAGGGCATTCAGGTAGGAAAGGAAGAAATAAAGCTCTCACTATTTGCAGATGATATACTATACTTAGAGAACCCTAAAACCTTTACCAAGAAACTCCTGAAAACAACAGACTTGTGTAGTAAAGTTGCAGGCTATAAAATCAATACACAAAAGTCAATGGCTTTCCTATATGCAAATAGTGAAAGAGAAGAAAGTGACATAAAAAAACAATCCCGTACACAATTGTGCCCCAGAAAATCAAGTACCTAGGAACCGGCTTAACTAAGGAAGTAAAAGACCTGTACAAAAAAAAATACAAAACGCTACTTCAGGAAATAAATGAGGACACAAGAAAATGGAAAGGTATCCCCTGCTCATGGATCGGGAGAATTAATATTGTCAAAATGGCAATACTCCCCAAAGCATTGTACAAATTCAATGTGATCCCTATAACAATAACCCATGACATTCTTCAGAGAAATGGAGCGAACACTCCTGAAATTCATATGGAACAATAAGCCCTCACGAATAGCTAAAGCAATTCTTGTGATAAAGAAAATGGGAGGAATCAAGCTCCCTAACTTCAAACTCTACTACATAGCAGTAATAATTACAATAGCATGGTTCTGGAACAAAGGCAGAGATGCAGACCAATGGAAAAGGGTTGAATATACTGACATCTCCCCCCCGCCCACCCCCAAGTATATGATCATCTAATCTTTGACAAGGTAGCAAGAAATGTGAAGTGGAGCAACGAAAGCCTCTTTAACAAATTGTGCTGGCAAAACTGGATGGTTACATGCAAAAAAAATGGGCTCAGATCTCTGCTTAACACCATGTACAAAAGTAAGATCAAAATGGATTAAAGACCTCAATATCAGACCAGAATCCATAAGGTACATTGAAGACAAGGTTGGCAAAACCCTCCATGTCATTGAAGCTAATGGTATCTTCAAAGATGACATGCCACTGGCCAAGCAAGTGAAAACAGAGAGATAAATGGGACTATCTTAAACTAAGAAGCTTCTGCAACTCAAAAGAAACAGTGACCTAAATACAAAGACAGTCTACAGAATGGGAAAGGATATTCACCTAATACACGTCCGACAAGGGATTGATATCAAGGATATACAAAGTACTGGTTGAACTCCACAAGAAGAAAACATCCAACCCCATCAAAAAATGGGGCGACGAAATGAACAGAAACTTTCACAAAGAAGAAACCCGAATGGCAAAAAGGTACATGAGAAAATGCTCTACATCATTAATCATCAGGGAGTTGCAGATCAAAACAACAATGAGATACCATCTCACACCACAGAGGCTGGCACACATCTAAAAGAAGAAAAGCAATCGGTGTTGGCGCGGATGTGGGGAGAAAGGGACCCTCCCTCACTGCTGGTGGGAATGCCGACTGGTTCAGCCCTTTTGGACGATTCTCAAAAAATTAGAAATTGAGCTCTCATTTGACCCAGCAATACCACTCCTGGGAATATATCCCAGAGAGGCAAAAAAGTATAGTCAAGGTGACATCTGCAATTTTTGTTTGTTCATTGCAGCACTCTTTACAATAGCCAGAATCTGGAAAAAACCTGAGTGCCCGAGAACAGATGACTGGCTAAAGAAAATTTGGTACATCTACACAATGGAGTACTATGCAGCTGTTAGAAAAGATGTCACTGTCCTCCCATTGTTCATCAATTTGCTCGAGCGGGCCCAGTAATGTCTCCATCGTGAGACTTTGTTGTTACTGTGTTTGGCATATCGAATACGTTACAGGTAGCTTGCTAGGCTTTGCCATGCGGGCAAGATATTCTCGGTAGCTTGCGAGGCTCTCCGAGAGGGTTGGAGGAATCAAACTCAGGTAGGCCATGTTGGCTGCGTGCAAGGCAAACGCCCTACCCGCTGTGCTATCGCTCCAGCCCTAGAAAAGATGAAGTCATAAAATTTACATAAAAGTGGTACTACATGGAAAGTATCATGCTAAGTGAAATGAATCAGAAAGAAAGGGACAGACATAGAAAGATTACATTCATCTGGGGAATATAAAGTAAAAAAATAAATAGGAGACTAACACCCAAGAATAGCCAAGATAAGTACCAGGAAGTTCACTGGAGGCCAGCTTGGAGGCCAGCTGCACATGCTGTGGGAAAAGGCAACTCAGATAGAGAAGGGAGCACCAAGTAAAGGGTGTTGGGAGGATCCACCCAGGATGGGAGATGCATGCTGAAAGTAGACTATAGACCAAACATGACTGCCACTCAATGCCTCTTTTGCAAACCAAAACACCCAAAAGGAGAAAGGGAAAAAAGGGAATGCCCTGCCACAAAAGCACTGTGGGATGGGGAAATGGGGGTTGGGAGGGATACTTGGATCATTGGTGGTGGAGAATGGGAACTGGTGGAGGGATGGGTACTTGATCATTGTATGACTGAAAGGCAAGCATGAAAATCTGTAAGTATGTAACTGTACTTCATGGTGTTTCACTAATAAAAATTACAAAATAAATATTAATTTTCATCGTTGTTTTCATTACTGTTTGGGGTGTATCTTGAGGTACCAGGGACCAGAACTATAACTTGCAGTACTTTGAAGGTCAACAACTGCCAGGGACAGAAACCAGGGCTTCACACCTGCAAGGCATAAACTCTACCTTTGATCCATACCCAAAGCCCAATAGCTTTGATCTTGAAATTTAACATATCAATCTTTTATAATACAGCGGGTAGGGCGTTTGCCTTCTGGTCAACCTTGGTTCGATTCCTCCAACCCTCTTGGAGAGTGACCAAGAGTTTCCAGCCCGCAAGGCAGAGCCTGGCAAGCTACCTGTGGCATATTTGATATGCCAAAAACAGTAACAAGAAGTCTCACAATGAAGACATGACTGGTGCCCGCTTGAGCAAACTGATGAACAATGAGAGGACAGTGCTACCGTAAATTTTATTTTCTAAGAAATTTTCAACTGTCTCAGATCTCTCCTGGTGTTTTGAACTAAAGAGTAGAGTCTTGGGAGATGACCAAAAACAAACAAAACACTAAACACACACACACACACACACACACACACACACACACCAAAAAATAAATAAACTGTCCTCTAGAAATGTATTCTTGAGATGAAACTAGAACTAAGAGAATCAAAACACAGATGTAAAATTTTGGCACTGGGAGTTCCTCCGGTGTCTTATCAAAGCCTCAATTTTCCAACTCTTATTCAATTTCTGCTTTCTTCAAGACTTGTCTGTCAGTAGGCATTCTAAGGAAGAGCCCAAGTAGGTTAATACCAGCTTCTGGTCATTTCTTAGAAACACCACAGGCTAAATAGCCTTCCTCCACAATGACCCCACCGAAAAATTCAATTCAGGTAGACCACACAGAAATGACACCACACAGAGGATTCATTCACCAGATATATTTGAAGTCTAAGCTCTTTGAGCTATACACGTGCACAAATGATTCAGTTGGTGGAAATCTCCCCCTTCCCCTCCATTTTAAAACTTTTCAAACTTAAAATAGTGCTAAAGAGGTTTGCATAATGTGCGTCATGGAAATGCTGAGGCAATTCTGACTTTCACAGTGCTAGGAGGTTCCACAGAAACAACTCAGAATCCTATGCGTTTCTTCTTTCCTGAGAAAAGCTCCTGGACCTTTCCCCAAACCCCACCTAATGGAAGAATGACCTGATCTCAGAGAGAATATCATTGACACTTTTGGATAATTTTTTTTTCAAGGCTGATCATTTACACTATACAACCACTTATTATTATTTTTTAATTTTACAACTACACACACGATGATTTCAACTTCCACTCAATTTGGCCTGAAATAGAAGAAAACAGTTAACAATCATTTTCTTTTCTGCTCACTGAGATTTCCTGAGAGGCCGCCGGCTGAAAATACTGGGTAGGTTAAAAAGTCAAGACTCACCAGAGACTATAGTCAGCACAAAATGGCTGCAAGCGGCTGTTGTGGCTCTCAATATTGAGGACAATATTACTTCCACTAGGGGGCAGAGTTTCTCCATATAAAATCTAGTCTTTCATTTGTCAAGAAAAATTCAAAAACTTCCACAGCAAAGGAAAGCCAAAGCATTTGCTTATCATACACTCCTCAGATTTTATTTTTAAAAGGAGCCTTCATGTTTTTAAAAACGGAAACTTAGGATGTTTACAAGCAATGCGGTCCTCAGTTTCACCTGTACTGTGTCCAGTACTATATTGCTATATTCACAGTAGAACGGACTTTAATTTCTGAGTGATCAGTCTACGTTTTAAGTTTCGGATAAAACTAACATACACCTTAGTCAAAAACCACAACAATCCTCCCATAAGTTGGCTATGTTATTTTTCCTGTGTGTTTTTCTGAGGCTTGGGTAAAGAAAATATTTTCCCACTCGATCGTAATTGGCAATTGCGTCTAAAGTAATTTTTTTTTTTTTAATGTTCAGGAGTAGATGAGGCCTGGCACTATAGCAGAAGGTAATGGTTCTATAGGTGTATCTTCTGTAATGCACTTTGGGCTAGAGAAATAGAAAAATCACATGTAATGGAAACAAATAAGTTTTTGAGCAATATAGGCATTGCATGAGTTGGCTGGCAGATATTTTTCATACTTTCCCTTTTAGTATGCTCAATAGCTTCTATTTTCTGGAGATTTAGCTTCATCCAAATTGTCTACAACCGACACTTGCATCTTTATTTAAAAACAAGTGGTCTTGATAGTAAAGATATTGGCTAATCATTTATATATTGGCATGAGAAGTTTTGTGCCCTTTCAAAATTCAGCATTATCCATAAGAGAGTATAATATTATCACTTTATGTATTAATATATGAATGCATTCATAAGCAATGCACATATTATGCTTTTAAGCAGTTAACAGCTGAACAATCACTAAATAAAAAACATCCAGATTTTAAAAGCACAGCTGAAACATTTGTACAAATATACAAAGAGAAAAAAACAATCGTTCAGACACCATGAAACTTTTGTAATAAATAGGTTCGTCTGAAGTCGCTCTCTGTCACCCTGGACAAGCCTCCCCAACGAGGCTGGGAAAGTTCTAGATGGAAATGATGTTCAAAATCTACTACGGAATATCTTTGGGGCCAAGCTCAGTTTTGCCTCCAGGAATTTTACCAGAACTATGGAGTATTGACTCAAAATGGTGAATAAACCCAGACTTCTTCAGCTGGATGATACTGATAATTTTCCTACCCTAGATAGGACATGGCTGGATGCTGACTATCTGTGAGTTATAGTACATCCTCAAATCATGAAAATAAATGCTGGTGATCATGCATATCCTGGGAATGTTGGGATGCAGAGGACTGAGTGAGACCAGATAGGGGTATCTCATGCAGTCAAAGTCAGGTTTACTTATGGTCCTACTGAAGTGGCCAGGAAAAAACAGCGCACAGTCAGAACTGGGACTGAAACAGCTCACAGACAACACAGGTGCTATTTGTTACGGATGTCTCTGGCTTGGATCAACATGAGAGAATGAAGATATAGGCTGTACTGATTGCTTAATAAGAAAATACTACCTTTTTTTTCCTCTAGAACTTTCTAAATAATGGATTATACTTGATGGGTATGATATGATCAGGAAACGTATCACCTTTTCCTAGCCCTTTTGTCCGAGAGGCTTGATTACAAGGAAGGAATCTCAAACAACCAAACACCCAGGGATTTAAAGGCATTTTTTTTTCTGACAAACAACAGGAGGGGGAAATAAAAGCATGATAAAGAGGAGACAGATATCCTCGAGGCTGAGTGGCGAGCTCAGTTGGACACAGAGGGTGGCAGGCCGGGACGCCGGGTTTGGATGATTTTTGGCTTTGGAGAAGTCTTTGGATCCTCTTCTTCCTCTATGTCACTGTCACACACATGCACGACAACACTTGGGGTGGACTCAGTCCCTGCATGGAGCTCATACTTCTCTCCTGAAAATCAAGAAGAAAAAGCAGAAGAGGGAGTCAGAGCAAGAGGAACTTCTGAAGAGTTTTCTTCCACGAGGTTTGCCAACTGAGAATATTTTACAGTGTCTTAGGAAAGCTGGGATATCTCACTCAGGGATAAAGATGGACACTGGAAAATGGGATGAGACTGAGCTCTCGTCGTATCTCAGTTCTTATCAACTCAACACCCCTGAAAAAGTCAACTTACCTCCCTCAGTTCTCAGCATTCAAAGTCCTGCTCTCCAGAGAACCCGGGTGAAGACCGAAAGGATCTGGCAGTTGTCACTTTTATTTCTACTTTCCAGAAGCGCTGTCTATTACTGAGTAACCTTGGACCAATCAGAGTACTTTATATCTTGAATAAGGCAGTCTCTAAGTTCTCTCCCAGCTGTATTTTTCTAAGACCAAGACCTGACCCCAGGGGAATAAAGTGGGCTCAAGGAATACCTGGGATTTGCAGTGGTTCCTGGGTAACTGGGTGAGATGACTATTAAGGTTCTTCCTACCCTCCCTAGTCCCGAGATTCCATTGTTCTTGAACAGTTCCTCACAGTGTCAAATCACTGTTAGTCAACGGGCTTCTTAGTTGACTTAGTTTCACTTCAGGAAACACTTGCTGGGCATCTCCCATGATGTGCCCAATTATTGGGCAGAATGACTGCAAAGCACCATAAAAATATTGTTCCTTCTCAAGAACCTAATGGTGTTACAATGAAACAAGAAACAGCATGTTATATCACAGTGAGTCACTGTTGACATTCTAATTGTATACTCCTTCTTTCCTTCTTCATCATCAACAGGAAAACATAAAAACAATGACTTCCAATATTCTCTAGCTCAGACGTTCCGTAGGTCTCATTAGATCAAGTGCTAATTTCTTAGACTGTGACAGAAAACTCTGAACCAATTCTCACCAATATTTTACAACATTACTTCCATCCATTCACTATTTCTTTTGGTCAAACTGGTTTTATGTTACCCCTAAATACAAGAGACACACTTTCATATTAACCAGGCCAGCTACCTTTATTTTATATAGTCTCATTTTTCCTGAGAGTCCCCTAGATTCTTCCCTCCCTCCAGGATCAAAGTCAGACACTAAGCCCAGAAGTGTTCCAATCATCCTCTGTCCATGGTGGAAGATGCCTAGATGCTTGACTGGATGGAAAGAGCAAGTATTGTCAGTTCTAGAGCAAAAGAATCTTTAGTATCAGTGGTGAAAACATGAGCTTGCCAGGTACAATGGTTGCTGACATCTAAAGAATGAGGAGCTCTGATAATGCAATAGGCAACAAAGCATGTCTCGGAGATGGGGCAAGGGCGTAAATATTCAGTGTCAGCTATTGTTCGGAGTTGAATCGTCTCTGTCATAAAAGGTACTAAAGTCCCAATTACCATTACTCTTATTTAGAAATAGGATTTAGGCAGAGGATCAACTTAAGATCAGGTCATGAAGATAAGCTTTCGTCAAAATGACTGGCATTCTTGTAAAAATGGGAATGAGACTACATGCAGACTGAAATCATTCTACCATAATATAAGAAACTATAGGAAACTCAGGCAGTGGGCTGGAACAGATTCATCAACAGCACCTTCCAAGGGAGTATGGCTGTGTGCAAACCTGGATCTCGGCATTCTAATAGAAATGAGGCAATAGATTTTTGGATTATTATATTTTTATATGGTAAATGACTATAGTCATGCCCTGCATGAGTGTTACTCTTCTCATAAGGGTCAGAGAGATCTTTCTTGGACCTTCTTCAACATGCTGATTAAAATTTTTTTTTAAATTGAATCACTATGAGATAGACACTTAACAAAGCTGTTCATTATTAGATTTCAGTCATACAGTATTCCAATACCCATACCTCCACAGTGTACATTTTTTCAGCACCAATGTTCCCAGTTTCTGTCCCATTACCCCCCGTACCCCCCAGCTTGCCTCTACAGCAGGCACTTTTCCTCTCTCTCTCCCTTTCCCGCCCCCCTTTCTTTTTGGCATTGTGGTTTGCAATGCAGATACTGAAAGGTTATGAGGAATATCCCTTTACCTACTTTAACACTCAGTTCTTCTCCAACGTGATCATTTCCAGCTATTATTATTATACTGTTTCCTTCTATATATCTCTTACTCTCCACCCCACACATACTTGTGGTTGATTCCAAACACTGACCAGTCCTCCTCCTAGCCTCTGTTTTCCCTGGTCACGGATATTAGTCTTCTAATATTATATATGTGTATAATATATACACATAAATATTTATGTGTATATTTCTATTTTGTATATCACAAATTAATGCAGCCATTCTATATCTGTCCCTCTTTCTCTGACTCATTCCACTCAGAATGATGCTCTCCATGTTCATCCATTTATAGACAAATTTCATGACTTCATTTTTCCTAACAGCTGCACAGTATCCCATTGTGTAAATGTGCCTTAGTTTCTTTATTCATTCATCTGTACTTGGGCACTCAGGTCATTTCCAGACTTTGGCTATTGTGAGAACATGCTGATGTTTTATTTGGATAAAAGCAATGCATACTTCACACAAATAGAGTATGTCAATGCCAGCATTTCCCTGGTTCATGAAGACTCTAGCATTGAGAGTCTGATAGAGTTGTAGCTAGAGATGATGGTGTCAACAAGGGCTAAATGCCTGGCATAAGCAGATGGATGTGGATCTCTTGGACTCAGGGCAGTGACAAAATCAAGGGGGCATGATGCAGAACCAGAGAGAGATACTTGTGCATGTCATTCACACTGTGGCTTGTGGTCTTACTTCTCCCTGCCACGGGCAGACATCGATAGCGAGCACTCAACCAACTATGCTTTACCCTGCTCCAAAGTCACTCTGATCTGACTCTAGGAGTTGAAGTGGAAAAACTGATGTGACATAGAGTTCATTTAATTGTGCCAGCTCCCATCTTCCTAAAGTATTTAGTCACTTTTATCAAAGGTAGGGGAACCATTTCAGCTATGGCTAAGGAGAAAAACTTATGTGAGGCTGGTATTTTTGCTGGGGGTTCCCCAAGACCCCTGGTCATTACAACAACATTAATAGAGGGAAAAGAAAAAATTAAAAGCCAACCAACAAGAATCCAACTGCTAGCCTCAGCACTAACCAAGTGAAACTTGCTCCTGTAATGGGTCTGAGAGTCTGGTGATAAACGAGTAATCAGGTACTTTTTGTCTGTGCAGGGCTGGACAACACAACTAGGGTTGCCCTGGTAGTACTTGGGGACCACCAGGTTTCAGTGATGTTCACTGATGCTCAAGAGGCTATATAATGATAAAATGTGCGGCTATGGCTCTTTATCTGGTTTCGTTTAAAAGGCTCTGCTGAAGGATGGACAGAACAGGTCAAGAGAATTTTATTTTATGTTTTTTTTTTTTGCCACATCTGGCAGTGCTTAGTAAGTGTTAGGTCTTACTCCTACGTTTGTGCTTAGGGACCATTCCTGGTGGGGGCTCAGGGGACCCTACAGAGTATCAAGAATTGAACCCACGTTAAATATGCAAGGCAAGTGCCCTACCCACTGTACTATCTCTTTGGTCCCAATAGCAGTTTTAAGTAGTGGCTTGTTAACAGCTGAAAACTTTCTGGAGCTGCTTATTAACAACAAAGTTGTACAGTTTGGGAACCCAATTCTATGCATTCTGATTGAGTTATATCCACTTGGTCCTGCACATCACCAGGACTACTCAGTGTTTTGGGTCCAGCAGCCACTATTCCAGGACCAAGGTAGTGGGCAAGGGTCTGTGGTCCCACAGTTCTGCTCTATCACAATGATAGGTCCTTCCATTCTGCATCATCACTTCTCATTAGAAATGGATAATGGAGCAGGTAGAGGAGGGAAGGACACTCAAAAATGCCTGAGACCCCTGGTCATTATAATAACATTAATAGAGGGAAAAGAAGGTGGAGGTATTAAAAACCAACCAACAAGAATCCCACTGTCAGCCTCAGCACTAACCCATCAAGGTGCTTCCCTTCTTATTTTCTTTCTTCATTTTCTGGGAGAACAGCTAGTCTCTACAGGTCTATAGCAAACGGGGAATGAGTTCACAATATCCAGGACTTCGTAAAATTTCTCTTTCCTTCAGAAACATTTTATAAGTTTGAGAAGGCATCCTTTAAAAGAGACAGAAAGAAATTATTTCTGAATAATCAAAGTAACCTGGCTTCTCTTTTAGTGAACTGGAGTTTTCCGAAGATTTCTTCTTTGAAGTTTTGATGTTTTTTAGTTTTGCATTTCGATGGAGACCAGCATGTACCGGGAAGTGGGCTGGGAGGCATTGCTGAAGCCCTGGTGGTCTGCAGAGGCAACTTAAGAATCTTTCACAGCAGATGGAGCAGGAGATCATGGAGCTTGGGGTGTAGGGTAACAGCAGGGAACCCAGGACACTGACCAGACCTCTTTGCTTTTTGGTTGAAAAGAAGCTAGCTTTATATACACAACGAGCTTAACCTTTTCCTCACATGATTTCTTTGCCTGGTTTGGACAAAGAACATTGTTTCAGACGCAAAGCAGTTACTGCCTCAAAAGTAGATCTTTCCTCGGCTGTTCTGGGGTGCGGTAAGCATGGAGGTCAGTGAGGGTGAGGGGTAACAGTCACGTGCAACTTGCAGTGTCGGACTGCTTGGGAGGAGAGACACTGTCTGGACTGTAACCCCATTCCCTCTGACATTTCAGTGTTCTATTTTGGGAAATGTTCTTACTATAAAATCTAGTGAAGCTTAACTGCTGCAGAGTCCTCAAAATAAATCGAAATACTTTTGGTCTTGCTAGATTAAGCTTTGTGTTCGGGGGGTCTCTCTCTCCTCCTAGGTGTTAGCTAATTCCTCATCACAAGGGGCTGACGTCAATGCTGTCACCCAGTGTGGGGACCAATAGGGCTCAGTCATGGACAAAGGGTTTGCACCCCCAGCGTGTGGGGTGTGGGCAGGTCCAGCCCCTGAGCAGTGAGAAAGATCATGTAAGCA